TCACTGGAGTCAATAGGTTTGAAAAGAACACAGAATCTCACCCTAGCACACCCACACAGCAGTAAACCCTGATATGGAGATGTTAACTAAGAATCCACTGAGACAGTTTTTTTTTTTTTACTGCTTTTCTTCCTTACAAACCATTGGTTAAATTTTGTAAAAACTTTCACTAACAGACATTATGACCTGAAATACGTGGTCCTCACTAGGGAGGCTTACACTATCTAAAGCCAAGGTTTGGTAGGAAATTGCCTAAAATTAAGAACTGGTGCAACATGAAACTCCTATGGCTAGACTGATAATCCTTGACATCACTGGTATTCAAAAGCCTAGCTCTCAAGCTCAGCCACACATTAGAGAAAGTATATTACTTCTCATGGACAACATTCTGCAATAAGTGATGTTTTTGGCTCTGATAAGTGAAGACACCATCTAAACTTTCTACATTCTTCAGATTGCATCAGTGGTATTGGGGCAAAAAAAAAAAAATCTCATTACTCCACAGGAACTGATTATTTTGAAGGAAGTATTGAAACTTGTCAAAATACACACTGTCACTTTTTGATAATTTGAATAAAGTTTGAAAGTCAAAAGGATGAGTCACTGACAGATCTTTCTTCTTTTGTCATGAATCTGTTATCAGCTCCAAACAGTATATCATGATTAAGACTGTGCAAGAAAACCAGTGGATATTATAAAGAGGAGTTTGCAGGATTGGCCCATAATAGATATTAAATTTTAATATACATTTGTCTAATATAAAGAGTGAGCACACTGAAAAAAAGACTGAATATTATGTTCTCTGAAAGTGCCTGCTTAGATGAGAAATTTATTGGAACTTGACACTTTAGTTCACAGGTGAAGTGCTGATAATGGCTTGAAATGGAAGACTGGGGTAATGGATTTTAAGCCCTTACAAATTAAAATTATTCTAAGTGGAGAAAGAACAAATAAAGTTTTGGACAGGAGTAGCTCTTTAGATTAAAAAAACCACTAACCAGCTACAAAAAAAAATCCAGTTTATCCTGTACCCTGTCTGAAGAAAGGCAGATTTGGAGGTTTGGGGGGGGTAAGGGAGGATGTGTGTGGCTTTTGTTTGAGTTTGTTAGTGTTTTTCCTTCTAATGTGTTATCCTTTTGTTTTGGCAGAAAATAGAAAATTGTTGAGTTAGGTTCTTGGTTTTGGTTTTGATTTAGTTTTGGGTTTTTGTTTTGTTTTGGTTTTGGGTTTTTATGTTGTTGTTGTTGTGGTGGTTTTTGCTTGTTTTTGTTTTTGTTTTCTTTTTCCTAAACCTGGGTTTCTGTGGCACTTGCCTGATTTGGGACAGTGCCACCCTTACACCTGACCTGACTCCCACTGGGGTTTGCCCACACTGTCATCCTCCTGGCAGTGTCTCCTGTAGCACAAAAAAAAAGGAGTAACTTAGAGAACTACACAATATTTTTGATGCATTACCAGGCTGAATGCAATATGTAGCTCTCCCTGGATAGCATCAAACCCCTTGGCACTCAGGGTGCAAAGGAAAGAGAAGGGGCTCACCCACAGCAGTAAGTCCCAGTGATTGTATGCTTAGTCCTACTCTGCACCACACCTTGCTCCCTTTTCCTGCCAGCACTGAGTGCATGAAGGCACCACCCTCAGCACAGGTAAGGGGGCAGTGCTCCCACTCCAGCCCCTCTGCACCCCTGTTCCCCCGGCAGAGACAGCAGCCCTAAGAGGAGACTTCATGATTGGCATTTCTCACAGGAACAGGATGAAAGGTGGAGGTGGGATCAGGGCAGCATGGGGGTTGTGAATGGCTTAGGCAGAGTCTCTCATGAGCAGCTGACTGGAAGTGCTGGGACTGCTGGGATTTTGTGGTTGGGATTGTTGGGATTTTATTGACCTTGTTGGTATTTTGTTGTCTTCCTTCACCCATTATCTGTCACACAACAGCACTGCCTCCTTTGGTGATACCTGCAGACAGCCTAGTTTGATATTAGGTCAACAACCATATTACATGGAAAAAGCCAAGCTGACTATGTTATTTTTACTTTCCATTTCCAGATTCTCGATGCTTTCCAGACCTGTTATGGCAGATTAATAAAAGACACTTGGGATACCAGTATCAGTACAGTTCATGAAGTAACTTGACACAAACCACAATAAACTACAGTATAACACTGTAGAGCACCGCAGTGGAATGGAGGAGGAATACAAAGGGAAGACAATTGGTGTTCAAGGGTGTAAGACTGAGACACTGAGAAGGAAAGACCAACAACCCAAAATAGAAAAACTATGACATCTACACCAGACCTCCTAATAAAACCAACAAGCTACCTCTGGTATGTGGTACTGAACATCATAAAATCACTCTACGCTGACTGTACTGCAGCTGCTTACTTGCAATTTAAAAGTAAATCATGACAAAAAAGTTGCAATTGTCAAAAACTTATCACAGGAACCAAGTTAAACCAGTTGTGTGATACCAGGGGGATAGGCTAAAGCATGAGTTGGGATTTCTGCCAATGGCTGTTATTTAAGTGATATTTTCTAATAAAGACCCTGTATTTCTCAAGCTGCTATGCAGTACACTCCTTGTAAGGAAACAAAAAAGAAGCACACACTTAAGCACGAGATTTCTTAACTAGATATGGTAGGAATACCCAAGAAGCTGTTAACAGCCCTCGGTAAGATTCTGTAAATTATCTCTTTATATTGCCCTACTTTTAAGCTTGGATTGGCATTTACAAGAAGTAAGTTTTCCTACCCATACTGGAGATGTGACTGACCAAAGGGAAATGCAGTGGAAGGAAACCAAGTGGAAGAAAACAGCCTAAAAAACCAGGGAATGACAACAGGCAGACGTGCATAGGCAGAGAGTTATAAAGGCAACCTTGGAGCAGAGGTAGTCAACTGCAGGAAGTTACTCATCTGCAGCTGACATTAGCTTTTTGTCCTGTTTTCTTGACCTATAGTGATCAGGATGGCTTTTGCAGACCTGCAAATCTTATGCACTGCACATGAAAGTCACCTGATGTATGGTTTCCCCATACTCCCCAGTAGCAGGGGAGCACACATTTCTAATCAGCAAGGTGTTGTGGCTTCTGACCCACCCCATGACCTGCCCTGTGGCCAAATGTGGCACCTGCAGATCACATGGAAAGCAGCCAGAGACCGTGTTGTGCTACCAGCAGGAATGTACCCAGCCCCTGAGCCCTCACATACCAAGCTGCCCTGAAAAATAACACGCTCACCAAACACAAGATAAGGCTCCCATCCCTGTGGCAGTCCACAGGTTTGCTCACAAACTGGAAAGGAAAGCGCTGCTGTGGACTGTGCCAGGCAAAGAGGGAGGGGTCTCTCACACTTGCAGCTGAAATGTGAAACTCTGAACTTTCAGCTATTGACCAGCAGAGCTTAAAAAAACCCCCCAAACAAACAAAAATGAGGTGAGGCACTCTCTGTATGGAACATTTTGCAGACTCTTTTTATGAACTAGCACAGAAGGTTATTTCACTTGGTATACTTGCTCAGTTGGGAATGTAGACAAAAAATATAATTAACTCTGTCAATACAGAGGGAAAAAAAATGTGTACACTGTTGCCCCTAACATCATACATGTATGTAAGAAAAGAAGTGACAGAAAACCTGATGTAAATCAGAATAGAGATTCAAGGCACTGGTAGGCAACTGGATGCTTCATTTTCCCATGCTCTCCATGAACTGAGAAGCAACCTCTTCTCAGTATTTTGATTAGTATATGTGACTTTTTCAGGTTTCTCTACAGTTCATTAAAGAACTTAATCTCTAAATTTATATTACTATTCTTCTTTAAAATTCATTTTATCCAGAAATGCTCACCAATAAGTCAAAGCTGGTTGCAAATGAGTTCAGGTGCATTTTTTATACCTATTATATGCAGTTGTTTTCTCTATTGATGCAACCGATGACATCTATCATTTCCTCATATCTATCACTCCAAACAGTGAAAAAGTTACTCTATTTCAGAATCTTGAAACATTCTTTATTTTACAGAGGTCATCCTCAGAGCTGAAAATGGGTTCTAATACTTTAGAGGTCAACGATCAGCTTTTCCACCTTATCTCCTCTCTTAGCTTAATCCCTAATCCTTCTGGGACTTTAACAATGGCTGTTTTGACGTGGTAAATGAGTTTATTAAGTACAATTTTGATTACACGTCTGTCACTGCCGCGCGTCGGAGCAGCTTTCCCGGAGCGGCTGAACGGGCGGGAGCTGCCTGCCTGCCGCACCCAGCCTGAGCTAGCCTCACCCCGCCCAGCAGACGAGCTAAAACAGCCAAAAACTAAAGAAAACTTCGCATCAGTACGGGCCCACTTGTATCCCTCGGGAAAGGGAATCTTCGGGCTGGAGACACCTGTCCACAAAAGGGACAGGACCCCGGGCTGAATGGCTGCGCTGGGACCAGACTCGCCATCTCTTTCTCTTCCTTCCTTTCTGCGCTTATATAGGAGGCCAGGGCATAAAAATTCCCAGCAGTTTTCTAATAACACTTTCTGACTGCTTGCGGAGCCTCTGACTTCTGCCGTTCCTTCCGCCCCGGAGCACCTCGGGCGCCTCCTTCCCCGTGAGGGCGGAACCTTTGCGGGCGGCGCCGCTTGCCGGCCGGGCGCAGCCGCGGGCGGCGCCGCCGCTGCCGGGGACCGCGGAGCGCTGCGGCGGCCGGGCCGCGATGCTGGAGCCGGACCGCGGGCTGTCCCTCACCATCGCCAGGGTCGTGCAGCGCCTGCAGGGCTCCAGCCTGCACGCACAGCTGGAGCGACAGGCCCGGGTGAGCCCTGCCCTGCCGCTCGCACGCCTCCCTGCCGCGCTGCCCCTCCCCGGCGCTTTGTTCCCGGCCGGCCCGGCCGCGGCGACGCCGCACGAGCAGGGCCCGGACCCCGCCCTCCCTCCTTCCCTCCTTCCCTCCTTCCCTCCTTCCTTCCCTCCCTCCTTCCCTCCTTCCCTCCTTCCCTCCTTCCCTCCCTCCCTCCCTGTCCCGCTCCTCTCCTTCCCCGGCGGGGCCGCGGAGCGGCGCGTGTGGTTTCTAGAGCCGTGCTTATTGTGTGTCCCCTTGGGGCCCAAGGATTTCGCAGTGAATATGAAGACTATCCGTCTGAAACCTCGCCGCTTCAAATATAGGTCCTGAAGCGAATTGCTTTTTTAATCTTTAATTTGGAGAGCTTTAAATTCCGCCCCCGCTCCCCTAGTGTCCCTGAGAAAATGAGGATTTGATGAAAGGAAGTGAAAATAAATGAAAAAAATACGCAGGAAAGTAAATTTTAGTAGCTGGGATAACAGCTTTGCTCATTTTTTTATATTTAATAACTTATCTGCACTTGGAGCCAGATTTTCATATTTCAGCTGAATTTAATTCAGGATGTTTCAGAGTAAAATTGCATCAGTTTTCAGGATCATAATAACCTAGTCATGGTGCTCTAACAAATACTATGCGTAACTGAAATATTTTGGATTGGATTTTTAAAAATCTTGTGCTTTCGGTTTTGGATTTGTTGTTTTTGTGTTTTTTTGTTTTTTTTTTTTTCAGACACTGCTTAAAATTATACAGGTTGGGGATTTTTGGGGGGGGTAATTTTGGGGTTTTTGGGTTAATTTTAAAGAAAACAAGGCCCGTAAATTGGCCAATAAGTTTGGTGGAATTTTTAAATAAAAAAGAATATCCCCCAAGAAAGGCCCCGAAAACCCTAAAACCAAGGAAAACAACGGCAAAACGGCCTGGGGTTGGTTTAAAATTAAAAGCAACGAATTGGGCCCCTAAATGCTTTTATAAATGTGTGTCTGCCTTGCTTCTGTTGACAGGCCTTTCTAATTATTTGAATAAGCCAATGTACATGACTTGAAGGGGGCTGGAATTATGAAGTAGTGTAGGGGCTGGGTTCTGCTAAATGTTGGGAAATTGAGTATCCTAAAAAACCTGACATGAGGAGTGGAGAGTCAGACCTGGTCCTCAAACTGGGTGGTGAACAGGGCTCTGTCCTAACCACTCTGTTCCAGTTTGCAACACACCTGAATGCACTCCCTTCAACAGGATTCTTTTATCCTGTCTCTGGCAGGGTCTGATTTCACAGTCACTTGATACTTTGCATGGGTTTTTTGAGACAAGAGGAAGCTTCGTGTCCTCAGAACTTGGCTGGGTGTTTAGAAGGTGCTAAACGGGGAGGATGGCTGTTCTGTGGAGCTGTTTTGTTCTGCTGGACACTGCGAACATGAGCAGTGACCTCCCAAGGTGGTGTTTGGAGTCTGAAAGGGCAGTGAGGTGCCTAAATCCCTGCTGGACACGAGAATGTATCTGCTATGATGGCTTTGCAGAGTGCTGTTTTACAGATTTCTTGGAGAAGAAAAAAAAAGTGTTTGTATAGGTCATGATCATTCTAGTCATACAAAGTGCTAAGGGGAAAGAAAAGAAACAGGGAACAAATATTCAAGCTGATTCTTAGAGTTGTGTTTGAAAGGTTTATTAATAGCAGGTTAAATCAGAGATATAGTTTAGTGATCTGAAAGTTTATAGATACATCAACAATGGGATTTCTCAGTCGAATGAATTATCTCTTGGAGATTGTGGTTTAAATTAGTAGGTCCAAATGTACACTGTGTTTGCCAGGAATCTGTGTTCTTGATAGAGGAAGTTGTTTTAATTGACCTTGCACACATTTATGTTCTTTCATGTACAGAAGACTTGCTTTGTTTATAAAGCTTGGTCAGTCATGTTGATGCTATACCATGCAGTTGCCTCAGTCAGTGGCCGGTCTGCTGCCCATCCCTGAGCAGCTGTACAGAATTCTGAAAGTCTGAATTTTGCTTCACTCTGTATTAAGCTAATGCTTGATATTCCTCCTGTTACGTGGGGTATTGCTGGAGTTGCACTGTCAAATAGGAAATCTTAACTGTTGCTGTGCCTCACTCCTGAACTCCAGTTTATTGGTAGGATGTGATGGAGTTTTTTGTCTGCTGGTTAACAATGCTCGGTCTGCACAAGTTATGAGTTTGAAGGGTGATCCTTTTTTAGGGGATTTTAAAGTGTTTTGGGAGATGCACACTGTATTTTGAGAAGCCTTTGTAATCAGTGCATCAGAGTGAAACTTACTTTTGTTTCGGGTATTTATATTGCAGTTATACTCCACATATTCTTAGTCTCTTAGTGTAGAAAACTCCAAATATTCTTAGTCTCTTAGTGTAGAAAATGATGTTGGTATTTGTAAAAAATATTTACTGTCTCTGAAGACATAGTCAAATGGATCTTAAGGTCCATTATAATAATCCCTGAAATTTTGAGAGAATATGTAGTCTCACAAACAGAGAGACACATTTTGTAAATTTGTACACAAATTTTGTAAATTTATCTCTTATTTGCTAGGAAGGATAACTCAGAATGAACAGTTTCATTGATGAGTTAATAGAATTTTGGGGAAAACACAGTATCCTGACATTATTTGTGAGTGGTGATAGAGTAGCCCTGTGGTTATGAACTGATCAAACCAGTGCTGTGCTTGGCTGTCACTGGGAGCCTGAGCTGGTGTCAAGGGCTGTGATACACAATCTCTTTGAAATAACTTTGGCATGGGCATCAAATGATTTGCTGTCGCAGCTTGACCTCTGGGGATACCAAGATAATCACATTTTTATCCCAAGGGTTGAAGTAGAGGTAGTGTCATGGAAGTGATGAATGAATAAATAAATTAATGTTAGGTTGATTTTTGTAGGTTGAGTTTTGATATATTGATATATTACTGCAGTTAATAAGAGAGATTGATGTGGGTAAGAGTGTTAATGTGCCTATCATTTGCTTTGGAATTTCTTCTGAACATACTTCGTAATGTGTTTGAATGGAAAGAGTAACAGTGACAAAGAGCCAAAATATTAACTTTTCAACAGGTAGAATTGCTGCTGGCATTAATGAGGTAGCAGAGGAGAGAACTCATTTTCTGGGCACAACTTCACTGTACAAGTTTGTAATCAAATTTGCTTGTTTTTATCTTAACTTTTCCCTTTCTGAACTGTAAATGTTTTTAAGGTAGAGATTAGTGGTGTTTGGAAAAACTAAAAGATGGACATCTCAAGGACAAAATGCAGTTTTAAAGCAAATTATTTTGTGAAATCTTGCTAAAATTCTGCTTTAGGGAAGATCTGTGTCAGTGAACACATTTTATTGTGTGAAACTGTTCAAAGACATGAAAAAAGTGCTACCTTTTTAGCACATTTTCATTTGCAGCCAATTCGGAAACTTCTTTTTTCTTAATCTTTGAAGGGAGTTGAGCTTTATTAATTAATTAAGATTAATCAATCTTAATTTTTGTCCCATGCAAACCTCTAATAGACATCAGTCTAACTCAGAGTTGCCCAGAACCTCTAGTGACCGGGGCAAATAACAAAGTTTTTAAAAACCCCAACAAAACCAACCAACAAAGAAAAGCTTCAGTAGTTTATTCCTAAAGAACTTTTCTAAGACAGGAGGTGACAATAAAATGAAAGATAAGAGTTCTAAATTATGTTTTAAAGGAAACAAGAAAGACTCACAGTGCAAGGAGTTCCCCCTGGCATTGTCTGCATAAATGTTCTCAGATGTTTCTTGTAGGTATGACTGGAGTGGGACAACCTGAGGGGAACTTGTAAAAAAACATTATAGCTACTGTTACAGGAGGCTAAAACGGGTAATGTAAGTGCAAACATCAGGTCTGATACTCCATCCCACCCCACTGCAGCAATTAAGTTTGGGAGTGAGGGAACATTGGTGGAGGTACTGGAGGTACGAAGAAGGGTGGAGAGGAGATGTCATGGTCAGAAACACTGTCAGGGGAGGGGAGTCTGCCACCATTCTTTGGGCAGACCTGTGATAGAACCAGAAGGGTTTAAAGACAATATTGATCAAAGGGAGAGGTAAGGGTCTTTACAAGACTTCAGGTGGAGCAAAGGAGGAGGGGACTTGCTTTGGAAGTGCTAGGAAAATGGCAGCTGGAGTAGGAGCCTGGCTGTGCTTCTAAAGAAAGTGTAAGTAAGAAAGCTTTGAACAATTTATGTGAAATGAATGGTTTGCAAGATGTCTCAGCATATTGTTTTCATGATATTTTTCTCCAGTTAAAAAAAAAAATTGATACAATCTCAATTTATATAAAAGATCAAATTAAGAAGGAGAATGTTCCTGTGCAATGTAGCATTTATTTAATAAAAATTAGCAAAGAATTGTAGTCTCATGAGTCATCATGGATAATTAATGGTTCATTTTCATGCATTGTATTTGGCAAAGGATTTTATTATGCCTGCTGATAGAGATTGTGCCTTTGTTTTAAGTGGTTCAGCAGTAATATTTGTATTAGAGTGAATTTTAAATTGAATGCAGTTGCATATGTGTTGATCAGATTATGGAGTTCAAAAGCAATGCAAGCTTGACTGGCAGAGTAGTACTTTTGTAGTAATGTGGATTCTGGTTTTTACCTTGTGTGTGTATTTTATTTTCAGCACTGATTTTATATTCAAAACTAGAAAATTTATTAAACATTGAAATTACATCATTAAAAGATAGCCTTATATCTTGTACCACAGCATAACATTTGAAGCTGTTTACTTCCATATGAAGCTGATTGAAACTCTCTGTATCTGCTAGGTTATTTTTACTTGTATAAGAAAGTTCACACTATTTTTTCCCTTATTGTAGTTCATGTAGAAATGTAGGAGGGTTGGAAAATTGTCATTGTAATTAGGGTTTCACTCTTACTGAAGTTTGTTTAGTTAGGCTCAGAATTATTCTTCTTTCTGTTACAGAAATGCATAACCAAAACTAAAGTCTCTTCCTTAAAGTTGCAGGGGTTTAAGTTTTTAGTGAGTATTTATGTTGAAATTGTTGTGGTTGTGCTTGAAGTGGATTTTACCAAGTCAGCTTGGTTAGTTCTGGTAGAATGAAGTACATAAGGAATGGTGAATATTTATTAGCTTTCATTGAATTTACTTCTAAAGATGGGTTATAATTGAGGATTCTGTTTTATTGTATTTTGGGAAATAATAGCAATAAAACCAAAAAGCATTGTGCCTTTGTGCAAAAATATACTGAACAGTAATAAATGTTTTGAGAGGGTACATGTTTATCTAAACAAAAAAGGCTTTGAAGGGAAATTATGGTTGATAGCCTGTAAAAATATTAGGATTGTGTAAAGTTATTTGCAGAACTGTTTGCAACAGGATAAAAATATGTGTTCACCTGATGCAATTCCACATTTCAGTATGGTTGGATCACTTCTCTGCAGTGTTTATTCTTGTTGAGAAAAGAAATGTTTTAACACAGGAGTTATACTGGAACGCTTTGTTCTGTCAAGCCTCGTCTTAGTAGTATGTTGCTGCCTCTAGTTATTTTCCTTTACTTCTTTGAGTGCTGTGATTGATGGATCATCTCCTGCATGATCAATGCTGCTCCAGTCATGATCACTGAATGCCACTTTCATATTTAGATGTTAATTTGCAAATAGGTTGAGCTCTCTGTTCAGTTCCTCTGTGAATAAATTTCCTATTTCCACCAATTTTATTATTTTGCTGTTGTGCTATTCTTTTGCTTCCTTTCAGCCACATCAGTGTTGAGTGTCTGAATTTTCTTCCATCTTGGCATCCAGCTACAGAGGGAGTACATTTAGAGTATCACTTCCAATGGTGACTGCCAAGATCTCAGCAGGATACCTTGCCAAAATCAAAGACGTGCACACAAGATTGTTAGTGGTACCTTAGGCACCGGCAAATTTGGCAAAATTTTAAAGGTCCCTAAACTACCCTACTGCTCTGTACAGCTGAAGAATGGGGGGTGCCAAGAAATGCTGTAATGATAGCTTGTTCTGTGAAGGAATGTGGAAGGGACAGATGTGTCTTGATTCACAGGAAGCTGACCAAGACTGTAGAGAACACAGATATCCCACACCTGGACCTTGGTGCCCTATCCATAAGATCATGCATAATGCTAATTTTACAGGGAAATAATTTGTTATTTCTTGCTGAAATGTTTGCATTTCATCCCTATTTCCTTTCAGGGCTCTATATTCCCTGACCCAGCCTGTGAATATTTGACTTTTTCCCTGTTCTAGCTGTCACCCTTTGCTTTCATGGATTGTTCTCCTATATTGCTCATTCTCTATTACCTTGCATGTGATAGTCTCCTTATAGTAACAGATAGTATTTTTCTTATAGAAGTACCTTTCATCAAGATGTGTGTGTTGAAATTGGTAGTTTTACCTGGGTGTTTGCTGTTTTTTGGTCATGCAGGGAATTAATTCAGTTCATGAGTACAAATCTCATCAATGTGGGGTTTTCTCCCAATAAATCTTAGACAGGTATTTTTATCTATGTAAAGTTGTAGTAAAGCTTTTTTTAATAAAAATAGAATTTTGTCAACATATTTTTATTTATTCTACAAAAAAATCACAGGAAATGAAAATATAAATGAGACTTAGTCAATATGTTGTACCAAGCAGTTTAAAACAAAACTACCCTACCTAAAATACCTAAATGTGTTTTCCAACATGGTACAACACAGAAATAAGTTAGATCAGTTAATCCAAAGGAAAAACAAAATTATGTGTGAGACCTGGACTAATAATTTTGGAACATCAGCTATGCTAAGTCCCCTTGATTCCTCAGTTTAGTTCCCATAAATTCTAAAGAGGTACCATACTGTTAAGTTACAGCAAAACCATTCTGAAGAGAGTTCCTTTCACTTACCAGAATGAGTATTTTCCCTTGTTTTGTTATGCGGGGGTAGAATATGATCTGTGTTAGAGCTGGCTGCAGCTGCCAGCTGAATTGTTTGCCACATTCTCAAGTATCTAATTTCTGATTTGAAAACTGATCAGCAATCCAGTGGGCAGTGAGTCCCTAACAGTTTCTGTGGCTCTCTTGTTCTGCTTAGCACTTAGGAATGTGTTGATTGTAGTACACAAGTAAAGCAAAGGGAGAGTGTGAATGGGAGGAGGCTTTGCAGCTGAACTCTGAATTGGTAAAAGTGGATGCAAAAATGCCCCCATAATTTGGCGGGGGTTGGAATTTTCACATTTCTTATGTGAAAATTTGTCTCAACAGAGCTTTTTTCAGCGAAGAAAAGAAAAAGGACACAGGAAAGGTGCTAAAGATAGATGTTTTGATAAGTTAAAGATTACCCTAAGAACATTGGCTACAGCAGGGCTAGGAATAATTAAATAATACTCGATGAATACATGGGCATGAAGAGGTGAAGGTTACCAGTGTAGGTTGGTGCACTAATATAAACCTTGAAGAAAGATTTCCCCAATGTGTTATCCTGTTTCCTTTCTGCTGCATACAGGAGAGTCACTGGATTTTATATTCTGCAGGTGAGGAACAGGCTGTGTTAGGAACAGCAGTTTAAAAGAAAGACTCCTGTTGTTCTTTGGCCTGAGAGGGAAAATGGTAAGTAGTCTGTGGACTACTTAATGCCTTCTAATGCAATATTCTGTATCAACTTCCAGAATTTCCAGGAATGTCCAAAAAACTCCTGTTGTTGTCAATAGGAGTGTCAGATGTTTCTTAATAAGCCAGGAGCTCACAGGTGTGTGAACAGCAGAGAATTAAAATACCGTTCTGATTGCACTTCCATAATTTCTTGTACTGTTTTCAGTGTCAAGATAATTAAGCCATTTTATAGCAGATTGTACAGGAGCTTTATTTTTTGTTTGTGTGATTTATCATCTGTCAATGAGTTGTATTTGTGAGGGGATTTTTTTGGATATCTAAAAAGCATACCAGATCTGACAGGTAAACACCCCATGGACCTTGAGATTAGAATTAGTCATATTTAACTCAAAGACAAACCTGAACATTTACAAAACGTGTACACAAAAACTTCTGAAGAACAGAATGGCAAAATCTGCCCTGTTGATGTGTGTTACTTAATTTAAAATTTTTACAGGAATCACACAAAACCACTGCCTTGCATCACAGAAAGCCCTCAGCCTGACAAATGTACAAAAAGGATGTAGGACTTTTCATCACAGTAGCTTCAGAAGGAATTAATCACAAAATACTCCTTGAGGTTTTTGCTTAAAATGGTATTTTGTGAGCTGCCCAAGAACTCACATAAAAATCTTTGTTTCCCAGATATTAGTGACCATCCTTTGCCAGCTATTACCATTGTGCTGGATGGAATACGTGTTTGTTATTTGGCATGGGAGTTATGCAACTCACCACACTTATGATGACCTTTCTTTCACTTATGCTTATGATGACCTTTCTTTCTCAGAAGCATGCTGAGAAATAGTCTCTTTGCTGTTGCAGTCAATAAACCAAATATAAATGCCTTCCTTACCTGTAATGGCAAGGGGACATGAAATAAGAGCAGAAATGCTGTTGCTGTCATTCTCTCCATTATTGTTCATTCCTCTTTTCATGTGAGGAAAATGGAAAGGTTTTCTTAAAATTCTGCATTGTGAATTCACCTAAACCAACTTTTCCAGTACAGAAGCACCCTTTTCTATGTATAAACTGTAAGGCAAAGTACAGGATTTTGGAGTTTTAGTTGTTTACCATGGACTTAAAGCATGCTGTGCTGTCAGCAGTGCTGTTAGGGCTGGAAAACTGCACAAGTTGTTGAAAGATTATTTTTAATTAACTAATAATTAAATCTACTGCTGCAGGAAAGTTTGCTGCAATAGAATCAGTAGCTGATATGCCTACAGCATGTTGTTGAGTAGGTTTTTGGTAAGAGATAGCTCACATTTCTATGTAGATGATATGGCCATATGCTTCTAATGTATGCCTGGAGCTGTCATGGCTGTGGACACAAAGATCCTCTGCTGTTATTTTCAAGTTAGCATGTGACATTGCTTTTTTTTTCTAAACCTTTAGCTTTATTATCTGATGTTAATCAGTTATTGCCATGTACCGTGCTTAGGAAAATATTTCTTAGAAGGCATTTCACAGAAACTTCTGAGTTTCTGCTGGTTGTCCTTTTGGACCTTTGAGATGTATTTGTTTTCTCCTCTTGGTCTAGATGTAGAAGGAGATGCTGTAGCAGCTGGTCCTGCTGTTGCTGAACGATGTGCAGCACCATCTGTGTGGTTGTGTCATGGTGTGGTTGTAAAGCTGGTTAGTGCAGGTTAGTGTGTTGAGTGCATTTCATTGTAAGAGGTTGTATATATCCACTGGTCACAACTGTAGTGAGGAACGTTTGATGCAGTCGGGTTTTTTTTGGTTTGAAGATGGCATTTCGTACTTGAAAGAGCTGAACTGTGTGAGGTTAAGTGGAAAATTAGGGAATGTTTCCAGTTTTAATCTTTCAGATAAGGTACAGGGATTGGCTTCTAGTTCGTTCCATGTGTACCTTATGACCTTAATGTGTATAGTCTAGTATTTGGGCTAAGTATGGGGGGGTCTTCGCTCAGATTATTAAACATCTATGTTTATATGCATTCATTGCATATTCTACTCCTTTTTTCTCTGTTCTTCCCCAAATACACCTCTTAGCATTGATGAAAAAGGCAAAGACATTGAGTGAGAAAGTTAACTGATATTTTTGACTGCTATTGCTCGAGGAAGGACTTTGCTGTGGGTGTAACCTTAAGCATGTACATTACTTACTTCACAACTTGAAGAATGTAATTTCTCTTTAGTTCTTGATGCTTATTTATTTATTTTTCTGATTAGGTTAGCCTACACAAACCAGAAATTAAGCTGGAATCTCTAAAAGAGGATATTAAGGATTTTCTGAAGACATCAGGTTTGTAATACTTCATTGATATATTTTTGAATAGTATATATATATATGTAGGAACATATGTGATATAAGTGATAAAAGAGTATTTTGTGAAGCTTGGTGTCTTGTCACTGACAGTAGCCAGAGGCAGACATTCAGTGATTCCAGATTATTAAATCAGATAAAGAAAATTTAAAAGGGAAAGTGTTGTTGAATTCCATCTGCATTTTGAAAAACATACTATGCAAAGTGCATTTATCATTTTATAAGATCCTGGTGATTTTTTTGAAAGTTCTGAGTGAGAGTTCAGTCACTTACAAAAATGGAAATTAACTTCCATGGAGATACTCTTGAAGATTTTATCTTTAGTTAAATTTCCAATTTGCATTGAAAGTTGTAGGCTATGTTACTATAATGTTAGAATTTTATGATAAATGATCTTAGATTCATGATCATCAGGAAGGCCGCCTCTATTCATATTAATTGTTGGTTTAGTAAAATGATGGATTTAAGAAATAGAATGTAAATTTTTAAACCAAAACTATATTGTAATTATTTGAACAGCAGATGGAAATAAAGGATATTCAGTCTCTATAAAGAGACTTACACTTTTCCTATCTTAATTAGATTAATATTTCTTTGTCTACTCTTGTCTCTGTGGTAGGTAGACATGAACTGAGACCAGACATAAAACCATAAAACCCCAGTGACTACAAAGCAACCTCTGATTGATGTTCCATTAATATTAATTCCTAAAGTTAACTTCTGGTTTGTTTTTTTTTGTTTGTTTGTTTTTGTTGTTGTTGTTTTGTTTGCTTGTTTTTTTGTTTGTTTGGGTTTTTTTGTATTTTAACAGGTTGGGAAAAGAAGCTTCAGAATGCTGTTTATAGTGAACTCAATGTGTGAGTTTATTTAGTATTTTCACTTAATGAGTTCTACTCACATGATTAACTTTTGATCCATTTGTTTATAGAGGTGTATGGTGTGTTGCTATAATCTGCACTATCTGTCAGAGCAAGGGTACCTGCTTAGTTTCTGTTTTTAATGTGGCATTATTTCTTTTTCATCCTAATGAAAATACTGGATTCAAGTGCATTTTAAAGAATAAATGAAATAAGTATCACCACATTTTGTAGTTACCTTAGTATTTTCCTTTTCGCTTTGCTTCCAAATGTACCAAAGGTCATAATATAATTCTATGTAAATGAGGTAGCTGTGGCAAATGAGTTTTAATTGAGGTATTTATTGCAACATTCCACATATTTTTTTTATTAATTATTTTTAATATTTGGATCTCTAGGTTTCTCAGGTCAGTGCTCATCATGCTTGGGATATGGTTATAAACAGTTAAATCAGTCAAGTTTCCTTTTTATTATTGTTCAGCAAACTTCAGATTAGATTTCTGGGAAGCATAATTTTTCCTTACATTCTGGCACAGTGGAAAGGTGAATTTCATAACAGATATAGTCATAAATGCAACTATAAAATAAGAAATGTATATACAAATCTATTTGTGCTAATTTACATAAGCTTGTTAGAGTTACCAGTTTAGCACAATGTATATTTAGTAGTGTGTGGGACTTAATTCAGCAAAATGCTTCTGTCTGTTAGTGAGGATTCATCTTCATCATATCTTTCCAGGGAAAAATATTTACCTGTCTCTAGGGCTATCGCATGGAAATAAGCAACAAAATAACGAGATTTGCCCTTGAAAATTGAAATTTACTATGAACACCATGATTTCATGAGCATTGTGGAAAAGCCAAGAAACAGCATTTCTGAAATCTGTTGATACTGATTCTGTTTTACACACTGGGACAGAATAGCCAGTAACAAATCTGCAGCAAGTACAAGAATGATCTTGTCTGTTAAAAATGGAAAGAAATTTGGGGAGGGTTTCCCAAAAACATGATAAAAACTGATTGAATGCATTCAAACAAATGAAAATTCAGGGTAACTATTATAGAAGCTATGTGTAATTTTTTTTTCCTGAAATATGTTTGAGACACTTAAAATTAAGCTGGATGTAATGCTTGGCAAAAACTCATTGGAAATAACCTACACTACTGAAAGATAATGTTTTGGTTTAGTTTTTAATTTTTGTTCCAGCTTTTATATTTTGTCATAATGCAATTTATGAGTGGATATTCAACTTTGCTTAAGTCAGTACCTCACTTAACCTTCTAATTACTTTGGACATGTACATGTTCACTACTGATTTTTGAAAGGAGACCTTTAAAATATATATATTGTCTCTTAAAAAAATGTGATGACTTGGACAGGGAAAGTTCCAGGGAATCATAAAGATGACATGATGTGAAGAGAATACACTTTTTAAATACCTGATTTGTTAATGTAATTATTTTGTAAGTATGTGAAATTATAAGGGAGCATTATTTTTAATACAAGAAGAACTGATGTTGAAATGTTACTAATTCTTGCATATTGTTATCTTATTTCTATCCATAGAATGGATGAGGAAAAAGTACTTCCAAAAATAATACACAGTTTTGATCAACATACACTTGTGTTTTTGCTAGTGCTCTCATGAAAAAAGTTATATTTAGGTTTGCAAATATGGAATTAATTAAGCAAAATAAAACATCAAAATACTTAGTTTACCATATTTTCTTCTTAAGGTTTCCTTCGCCCTGTCATCCTGCAGCACCATCTGAACATATTAAAGAACCTTTAGCCTATATGAGGAAAGCACAGGTTGGTGGTTATCAATTTTACCATTCATATCAGAGTTTTAATTAGATTATTTGAGATTTATTCTGTAGACTGTTATTCTGTTTCTAGGATCTATACCTTAGGAAAAGCACAGATTTGTAGTTGCATCAAAGTTAATAGTAATATTGTATATGTGACATTTTACATAAATACAGAAAACGTTCAAGTAATTCTCCAGCCACGAAGGAAGTAGGATATAGTGGCAGGTAGGTGAAAAATGTAGAATAGATGATGTGACTGTGTCAAAGGGGAGAATTTGGTTTCATTGAGAAGAAAAAAAAGGGGTAGCTATAGGTCATTTCCTTAGGGTTACAAAAACATTTTTTTGAAAGGGCACAGACAGTTTCATGATGAAAGATAACAGGCTGCAGAGACAGTGAGATCTTCAGAAAGAAGAGATATATTTAGTACTTAAAATGTGAAAGGAAGATGAAGAATCTAGAGCTAAGGAGCTTAAGGCATATTGAAGGAGAATAAGAGAAACTGGACTGTAAAGATTAAATGAGAATTTTTTGTGTCAGGAAAAATATTTTTGCTTTTTTGTTTTTTTTTTGCCAATATATGCCATTTGAAGTAAAAAAAAAAATCCACATAAAATGTAAAGAAAAAAATAACATGCTTCAGGAATATGATCTAACAAAAACCTCTGAGGTAGGGATAAAGGTGTATTTAACCATGCTGTGTCTAGAAATACATTGCCGTGTTCTTTTACAAAATACTCAACAAATTGTGTTACCATTACAATCATATTGTTATTTATTCCCCTAAGTCTTATCTCTCTGTCCTGGGTTTCAGTCTTTCAGGATTTGGGGCTATAGTTTGCTTTAATCAATTTTTCTTGTGTGGTGTGAAATGTAATGCCACAATTTGCTGCCTGAAAAGAATCACTCTTACTAGTTTATTAATGCAAAAACCACAGACATATATCTATATGCATGTTTGTCTGAACCAGTTTCATGGGTTATTATTTTACAAAAGTGTATGTAATACTTGCAGTGTTTTTAGGTGTAGAAAGGCCTGTTACTCCAGTAGTTTAAAAATAAGCAGAAGTCCTGTCTTTGCTGGTTTCAAAATATGATTCCCTATTTCAAAGAGTATTAGTCACCCATGTCCTCCAGGTGGTTTAACCTGGTAGGCAGCTCAGCCACTCACTCACTTTCCCCCAGTGAAACAGGAGAGAATCAAAAGGGCAAAAGTGAGAAATCGTGTTACCAAGACAGTTGAATTGGCAAAGCAAAAGACACACATGCCAACAAAGCAAAATAGGAATGCGTGAATTACTTCCCGTCACCAGGCAAGTTTTGTCCCAACTTCTTTATTTGGAACATGATGTTGTATGGTCTGGAATATCCAATTGCTCAGTGGGGGTCAGCTGTCCTAGCTCTGTCTCCTCCCAATTTCTTGTGCACTCCCAGCCTCCTTGCTGTTGGGGAAGCATTAGAGAAGATCTTGAAGCTATGTATGCTCTCAGCAACAGCTAAAACATTGGTGTTTTATCAACACCCTTTTGGTCACAAATCCAAAAGAAAGTACCATACCAACTGCTATGAAGAAAGATAATTCTATCCCAGCCAAACTAGTATGATGCTCTTTCAAACCATTTCTTGAAATCTAGCTCTTTGATAAAGCCTTGTGAATCCTTTCCATAGAGAAATACTGGTAAATTATGGTAGTTGTGAAATAGTAATAGATGCACCGTTAGAGAACTAAGATTCTAAACATAATTTCTAAAACTGCTGAGATACATGCAAATGCTTGATTTCCAAGATGACACGCATTTATCACTGTAGATAATGGGCCTGTAAGAAAACAAGCATCATCAGAGCAATTGAATCACAACTAAGTTTTGTTTTGTTACTCTTTTTGATTGAAGATGAATAAACAGTGTAAAAAACTTACAAAGTCAGTGTTTCAATGATTTTGTTTAAAATACTTGGAAATAGCTAAAATACAAGTATACAGGTTGCTAATACCTTTTGGGAGAGAGATAAAAGTGAAAACACAATGATTTACTTCCACAGGTACTGAAAATCTAATGTTTTGACAGTAAAGACTGGGATTTTTTTATTTGTATGTAGATGTTTTTTATTTTTACTTTATTTTCATTTAGCATCACAGCAGTTGGAAAACATACTTTGGTGCCATCATCAAAATTTGTCCCCATATAAAAATGTTCTGCATGTAAGTCATATTTGTCATATTGTGTTTTTATTAGATACAGTCACCATTTAAGATGCTGTTTCCATTGTTATAAGTCTGTTGACAATTTCTTTATCCTATTCCATCTTAATTAATTTTGTTCTACTTCAGAATTCTGGAAATAAAGGTACTACTCCCAGAAAGCCATCTCTGATAGTTACTGGAATTACTTTGAATCAGTGATTAAAGTGATATTAATATTTTTTTATAGAGTAGGTATTAAAATGTTCATAATTAAACCTTTTTGTTTTCACATTAGTTCTGTTTTCTCATAGATGGCAGACTGAAGTTTTTATATTACTTTCTTTTCCTACGACAAAAAAACCCAGGTTTCTAGAGAAGGATAGAGCATTAATGGCAATGAGTAGTAATGCTATAAGTCATAGGAATATAGAATGATTGGGTTGGAAGGGACCTTATCTGGTTTCAGCCTTCCCTTGCAAGAATACCTCCCACTAGATCAGGTTGCTCAGAGCCCCACGCAGCCTGTCCTTGAACACTTTCAGGCATGGGGCATCCACAACATCTCTGGGCAACCTATTCAATGTCTCACCATCCTCACAATAAAGAATTTCTCCTCATATCTCATGTAAACCTACTCTTTCAGTTTAAATCCATTCCCCCTTGTCCTGTTACTACATGCCCTTGTTAATAATCCTTCTCCCTCCCTTCAGGTGGGTTCTTTAGGTCTTGGAAACTATTCTGTGAAGCTATGAAATTGTTTCCAAATTGCACTACTACCTTCCTCAGTTTCAGCTATTTTACTGAATAATTGTAACCATAGCAATCCTAATAGTGTGTTTTCTTAGTGTTGAATGTCTTCCTAAGACTAGAGGAATCATCTTGTTAAATGTATTGTTCCCATCAATAAAAGAGTTTATGACCTCTCCCTCTGCTTTTTATTTCAGTCAAGAACAGTGCATTCTGTTTCTGCTCACTTCAGGTACTTGCTGTCCTGGAGAGAGGGCATGGTATCTTGCTTGGAAAGGCTGTATAACCCTCACTTTGGTTTTGTCTTCTTTGCATTTACTTGAATATATTTTACTGTGTCTTGAAAAATGAATTATGTCACAGTTTATGACTGTGTATAAGTGGCTTATTGCCAACACGTTGCACCCCCATGCAGTAAGTGGATTAATGTCCAGTGTGGCAGTTGTAAGTCACACCAAGTGTGTTGACCTCCATTGCTATTTGAAATTAGATGGTTCTTGGTCTTGGAAAGCTGCCATCTGTCTCTTCTTTTGTAGCTTTCATATCTTTACACATATCTTTGCTTTTCCCCTCCCTATGCCCCCACCACCTGTCCTCCCTTGGATGGTATCATGAAGTGATGGTGCCAGTGGTACCAAACCAAGTGGAGAGGTGGCCACATCAGAAGGGAGAGTCACTGTGCAGAAAAACTTGCATATGCTGGAAGAGTGGGCTAATAAGAGATTTATGATGTAAAAGCACAAATGTAAGGTCTGGCATGTGGGAAAACATAATCCAGACTGCAGCACAGCCTTGGATCTACCTGGCTGGGGAGCAGCCTGAAGGAAATTAACCTGAAGGACTTGGTGAACAGCAGGCTCCATATGAGTGGATAGTGTGCTGCTGCATCAAAGAAAGGCAACAGGATTCTGGGTTGCATCAATGTGGGCATCACCAGCAGAGATAAAGAAATCATTGACCCACTCTACTTAACACTTGTCAGGTCACATCTGGAGAACTGTGTTCAGCTGTGGTTCCCACTGTACAGTAAAGGATGTGGACAGACTGGAGAGGGTCTAGAGAAGGGCCACAGAGATGTTCAAAGAACTGGGAAGCCTGACATGTTAGGAAAGGTTGAGAGAGATGGGTTTGTTCAGCCTTGAGAACTGGAGGCTTAGGGGAGACCTTGTTCTAGTATTTAAAGGGTGACTACAGAGGAAAATGGAGACACCTTTTTACAAGAGTCACATGGAAAAGATGAGAAGTAAAGGGTACAAGTTACTCCTGGGGAGATTCTGATTGGACAGAAGAGGAAAATTTTTCACACAGGGAACAATCGGCCTTTGGAATAATCTCCTTAGGGAGACAGCATTGGACACTTAGGGTTTGGCTGGACAGGAGGCCAGGCCATCTGATCATCTGATCTTGCTTTTGCCAAAAAATACTTTAACTTTGTTTTTGCTACTACTACCTGTGTATTCTCCATTTCCACTTTCTTATCCTATATGGCCCAGTAATTTTCATGCTCTCTCACTTATTATTTATATAACAACAAAACTTCACTTCTTAGCAAAATAGTAAATACTTGATACTACCACTTTGTGAGAGACGAACCAGTTTGTGGCATGGTGTTGTGTAGCATTTGAAAGGAATTTAAATATGATAATACAGTTAAAGAAAAATATTTTAGAGAGTATGATAAAAAGTATGCAATTTGGAAAACATTCCTTAGATTCAAAACTCAGACCTATTTTTTTTATGCAAAAGAAAGTGAAGGGATGACTTGATTGTGAGGAAAAATTTCTGGTGCAAGATAGCAATTTTTTAAATGGAAAAAGTTATGAGAGGATCTAGTAAATGAGCTTGTAAATGAAAGTTAAGATGAAACAATTATAGACAAGATTTAATTTTTTTTAAATTGCCCTTCCCTTCATTTGCTTCTTGTCTAATAAACTGCAGCACCTTTCGGACAGATCTTTGAGGAGCATGGTTAAACAGTAACTAGCTGTTGTAAAATTTGTGTCTAGAGCAAATTACAAGCAATAAATAGAACGTAATGAAATTAAGTGGAGTCTTTGCATTCATGTGATTGAGGTCTGGCTTGTCATCCACAGAAAATGAAATTAAGTATAGAACCCACCAATGGTGCTGTAGTCACAGAAGCAAAATACCAAGTCCATTGACAAGGAAGTCATTACTAATTGGCATTAACTTCAGGGGAGTTAGCCATGGAGTAGGCACTATTGAAGCCTAATGCAGTTGTCAGAAGAATCTGGTTGCTTTTTAAACTGTCCACTGGCCACTAAGGTATTGTCTACTTTTGGTTTTCTCTGATTAGACAGACAACTATTTCCTGAGCATTGTGTTAGAAGAACCATTTTTTTAAGCATTACAGAATACCAGATTTCTAACTTTCCTTAATTTCTGACAACATCTAAGATACTTTTTGTGGAGAAAGACTGCCAGTCTCTTCAGGCCCCAAAGTGGAGAAGGTATTTGCTATGCACAGTTGATTGACCTCTTATAATTGTTTGAAAAAATTGTTAAAAGTTGATCTATAAAGAAGCTTGATCATTAAACATATATAAAAATCAGTAATTGTGAAATACGCGATTTTTTAAAGATATGAAATATGAACAACAAAATTTTCTGGTTCTTTTTTGTGTTGTAAAGAATGAGATCTGTTTGATCTATTGCTTCCGCATGAAGAAGCATGTAAATATTCTCTTCATATGTTTCCAGATGTCAGTGACTCTTGCTATACTTTTATATATATCTGAATTCAAAATGCTGCTTGTTATCGCATAGTAAATTCAATTTTCAGGAAAAAGAAATTCCTTATAATCGATCTTTCGTGTGCATTTTAGGGAAGCTGGGAGAAGCGAATTCTGAAAAGTCTGAACAGCATGTGCACAGAACTCAATATCCCACTAGCACAGAAGGTAATGTATTGTTAATTTTCTGTTTTCAAACTGACATTTCCTCTGAAATTAAGCCTTTTCTTGCACACTTGTAATGTAATCTTCATTTTAGGCATGGTTATCAAGAGCTGCAGGTTCAGTATCTAAATATTTTCTAATGCAGAATAATTTTCAGAGATGGTGGCAATGAATGTGTCATCTCAGCTTGGGAGAAGATGAAGGCTCTAGGTAGATTTTCCTCTTTGCTGTTGCAGTAATTATCCTCTTGAGAGAGCAGCATGTTGGAAAGCAAATTACTATGTTCCTTGCTCTTAACAGTATTTTGTGTGCAGACTCCACTGTATAACTTGTGCAGCCTGTGTGCGATACCGATGTGCTTTGTGTGCACAGAAATCTGTAGTTGAACTGGTACATGAGGAGAGAGAGAGAGAGATTATTGGTACATCGCTGATTTTGTTTGTCGTTCATTTTGGTGTGGTGGGGGTTTTTTTATTTGGTTGTGTTTTTTGGTGGTTTTTTTTCTTTTTTTTTTTAATTAATATAGAGGCTTTAATTTTAAAGATCATGGAAGTAGGGAGTAATGTTAGAATCTTTTGTTCATTCCCATGTTTTGCCTCTGTGATAGGTGGCAAAACCTCTATTGTTCATCATGAGCTAAAGGATGCTGCTGTTTGGTTTTCATGACTGCCAGGGACAGGAATTTGATGGAGTCCAACAGCTCTATGGAAGGACAGTAAATATTCAGTAACACAAAACTGAGTACTAAATACCCTAAATTCATCACTAAACACCCAAAACTATTTAATGGGCTTATTTCCTTCCAGGAACTGGAACTTTGGTTTTTTGCAGTGTAATGTACCTTCAGCCTAAGAATAATTTGTTAGCAAATAAGCTTGTATTGCTATTTTGTAAAACATTGCATTAATGTATAGTTGAAATTAATACATATTTGAAATAAGCATGTTTTTATTAATTCTGTTAAAAAAAAAGAAGATACACTTTTTTGTGTATTTCAGAGGCCTGCAAATGAACAAAAAGAACTGCTTAATAAATGGAATGAAATGGGGACTGATGAGCCAGGTAAGGCTCATTTAACTAAATTTAAACATCCATTAAATTTTTGTACATAGAAAGGCAGGATGTACATCTTACTTACCAGTCAAAGGTTAATCTAATCTCTTCAAGGCAATTTAATTTTGATCTTTCTTTCATTGGTAGTGTGTCATTATGCATAAATAAATACTTATTTCCTTGTTATTTTGTTTCTAGTTATTGTACTAACACTGAATCATTACTGAGAGGTTATTGTTTTATATTCCATATTCCAGTGCTTTAGAGATTTATTCAATTAGGAGACAGCTCCTCTTATTGTAAACTCAGGCTTACAGAAAACGTTTGGAACTCTGGATAATTAAGCTCAGATTTGTTTCTTGACAAAAGATAAAAATAACTCCTGCACAGAATAATATTATACTTAGGGAAAGTAAGGCTAACTCTCATGCTAGTTCATAGCCAAGTTCTTTAAAAAGGATTTTGCACAGGTGCTGGTTTGTATCACATTAACACCTCTCTGATGGCAAACATTTTTCATGGATTTTTTAGTACTGCTCCCCAGTTTTCATTTAACAGCAGTATGTGTAATTCAGTAATCTAAGCTGTTAAAAAATACCCTGCTTTTGAAAATCCTGTCTTTCTTAAGTCTAAGAGTGATTCAGTCTAAACACTTGTGAAGATTAAGTGGAAGCTTCCCTTGACTACTGTTCTCTTCATAGAATCATAGAATGGTTTGGTCTGGAAGGGACCTTGAAGAACACCCTCCTCTTCATTTTTCTGGGGTTTAAAAAAATAAGGCAATTATAAGTAGCATAATCATGACAGAATATGTGGTGTTGTTGACATGATATTTGTGATGATGTTATCTTGATCTTTGCTCTAATCTATTATTTAAATTGCTAGATTGTGTTATAGATATGGCACATAGGTTTTTGATCTTTTGGTTTTAACATAGTGTCATTTAAATCTTATTTCAGATCTAAGTCTTTTCCGGCCTGTTTATGCACCTAAAGATTTCCTTGAGGTAAGCCTCAATTCTAATAAAACTTAGCCATTATCTTGTATTCATTATAGTGCTTTATATGAAGTGGGAAAAATAATTGCTAAGTGTATTTCATACTGGTTATCATTTATAGCGAGTCCATGTTTGGTTTACAAAACAAAACGCTATTGTCACTTTTTTAACTTAAGTTTTAAATTGAACCTGTGATAAACTTCTCTAAACCAGAGTTTGGGACCAACTTTTTTTTTCTTGGAGAGTGATTCTGAAGTGATTTTGCAAACCATTTTACATTTTCAATTCCAATATATTAAGATCATAATTCACAATATGTGAAACTAATAGACTGTTTGATAGTAGATTGCAGACTTGTATTCAGTTGAAATTGTAGGTCGTCTTAGAAGGTTGTAAAAAATCAAACATGAAACAGGACTGTGTTGAATTTCAGGGCTTTTGTATGTAATCAGACTGAACCATTAAAAAATTGGTGACCGTGGAATCTTTAAAATCTTAAATGTCAGTATTATTCATCATTTTCTTTGGCTCAAGCACAGAACATCATAGTCAAATAGTACTTACTACGTATCACTCTTTTTGTTAAGTTAATCAAAATAACATTGAAGATGTTTAATTTATTTTGTTTTCCATCATTGTACTAACAGCCCTGATGTGTGTAAATAAATTCGGGATCTGTAAATAAATTAGTCTTTTTTTTTTAATCTTTATTCAGTGACCCTCATGATCATTCTCTTTTTCTTTTATGCTGTTTTCTTTCCAGAGTTTGCAGTTTCTTTAAATTAACAAGTCTGACAATGAGATTATATGGTATTAGAATACTTAAAAATATGAGACCTGTAGAAATACAGTGTTATAAAAGAATTTCATAAGAGCTGGAAATTCATGTTAGAAAGAATCTTTGCATCACATCAAAATCTATACCTTGAAATAACAGTATATGAGAGACTGTAAGTTCCTTTATAGATCACAGTTACTTACCTTGAGATGATTACTTGTCCTTTAAATTATATTTGCTTTAAGTTTTCAATTCTGTAATTTCTTTTTCTTATATGAAAGAAGATATTTTGATATTGTTATTTTAGTAAAGAATTATTTTAGTAGCAAATTCTGTAGCACTTTTATTGGAAGCTCTGTAAGATTGCCAGTGTAAGAAGATAGATAAAATTATTTCAGAGAAAAGTAATGCTGAAGAATATCCTGGATACTGTAGCCATCAGAAATATGTTGTTGGTATAGCTTATATGAGGAAGTAAATTTTAGTCAAGGCATTACTATATAGCCAACACTTAGTTATGTATATTAAAATTATTTCTGCTTTTTTATTGAGCTGACTTTTCAAAGTAGACTGTTAGCTTCCTTAAAAATTTCAGTACTTGTTGATTTTGAAAATGTTGAGATATAATTTGATAATTTGTGTCTAGATATATGTTGTGGAAAATTATTTTATGCTGAATGTACTGTTTGTAATGGTGATAATGGTTGAGAAGGATTATGAATGTAAGCAAGAAATGACAGAGATACAATTTTTTAAGGTACTGATGAATCTTCGAAACCCAAATTATGAAAATGGAGAGCAGCCTAGTTTCAGAAATCATCTGGGACTAATTCAGGTTCCCTTAAAAGTTAAAGATATTCCAGAATTGGTAAGTATTTTTTTTTAAATAAGAGGTTTCTGTAAGAGCTTTTTTTCCTTGTTAATGAAAACTATTCTAACTAATAAAAATTAATACAATTATCATCATAAATTTCTCCTTTTGAAAGTGAAAATCAATCTAAATATATAGTTAAAATACAGAGCATAAAGAAGGTCTATGAAAAAATATTTTAAATGAAAAATAAAACATAAACAGTAAAATTTCTGCCAGTAGGGAAGTTTTTATTTTATGAAACACAGGTTTAATTTGTGCCAAAAATACACTTCTGTACATGTTATTCACTTAACAATTTTTCTTCTATACAAGAAACTCCAAATTTGTAGCACATCTCATTTCTGCAGATTCTGTACAAGATCAGTAGCCTGACAGTGAGTTAATTTCTGGCTTTCTTCGCAATATAATCTTAAGTCCCTTTATTGTCAGGTGTAAATGAAAAGAAATGTTTGAGTGCTAGTGTATTATATAGGAGAGTTTTTCTAAATGCTTCACTGATGAGGCTCTTGCAGATTTTATGCTAGTAGAAAAGCCTTCACCTGGGTTGGAAAAGAGATGGGAATTAGAGATCCTTAACCTGATCTTTGATTCACCACTTCACTACATCCAGGTGTAGCTCATACTTGACATGCAAACTGAGGCTTATAACTAAAACTAGAGTAAGAATTGATGTGAGAGTCTATGACAAATGTATGCATTTAGAAGAATTTCATTTGGTTCAGAAAATACTCACATTAAGCCTTTCAGAAGAAATCTCAAGTGATTTAGAGAATTAAAAATATTAATTACTTTGTTATGGTTCTGTTCCTTTTCAGAAAGAAGACTTTAATGAACTAGGCTTAAATATAGGACAGCTAGGTATTGATGATTCAGCACAAGTGCCTCCTGGTAAGCTACTGCCATGCTCCAGTCATTCAAACGGAAAACTAATGAGCAGAATCCTTTGAAATTATAAAAAAAATTGTGTATTTTTCCCAAATTTTTTTTTTCAACCATAAATATTTGTTCTGTGACTATGATTTTAGTGATTTTCATAGTAAAATATAGCTAATAATAGAAAACAATGCATATATGAAGAATCATATTTGGAGAAGTTTTAAAGTCATCACCTTAAGTAGAGAATATATTAATTTCAATATGTTTGAACACTTCAGGATCTAGAGAACCACATTGCCTGTTTCCAGAAATACAGAAATTATCAGTAAATGTTAATCCAGCTAACAGATAGGCATATTTTTATATATATACATACATACAGGTACACATGCAAACATATTTAAAATATCTGTTGTCAAGAAAATATTACAGGACATACCCATATATTAATATTCAGTAACTTAAATAGTGTATAATCTCTATTAGTTTTCCATGTATGCATCTATTGCTGTATAAAGAGGTTTTAAAATGGTCTTTCTACATAAAAATGGAAATCACTCTAGTATCACAAGATTTTTCTTTTTAAATGGAAACTTGCCTAGTTGAAAATCATGTGGTATAATGCTGCTTTGATATTTGTGGTTTTGAAACACAAAATTAGTTTTTGAAAAAGAACTTTGATGCAGGTTAACTTTTAGTGATATTAGCAGTAAAGAGCAACTCAATGTAATTATGTGTTAAAAATACAAAATACATTATCAGCTGGGATGTCTTTTTCATTTATTGTTTGCCATACTTTTCCGTGTTTTTATTTTCTAGAGTTCTTTGAAAATGAACATGTACATGTTGGGCAGAAAGGTATGGATCTGTTTTTATTTGTAATTAACTGTGAGTAGTTAAGAATTAATTTAATAAATTTCTATTTGTTTGTACCTCTTAGAATTTTAAGAACCTAGACTAGCACAAAGCATTATTAGTAATACCATTGCAATTTAGATAGACAATCACTAATACTGTTATCATTTAAATAGGGACAGAAAAGCAAATATTTGCAGGGTACCAGTACCTACCAGAAAAAAGCTCCACAGGTATTTCAATAAAAACAAAATAGGAAGCACATAGACATCTTTTTGGTGGCAACTTATCTTATTCCATTACTGAATTTCAGTTTAAAGTCAAAATTCTTTGGAATCCCTTCTCTGCACACAAAGATCTCATTATTGTTATGGGATCTATGCCTTTATGTCAGAATTAGCATTTTAATAATCAGTTGCAATTGCCAAATATTGCAGTATTAGTGATTAGTATTAGTATTCCATATTAGCCACTATGGAATATTCATTTACTTGTCTCTTTATACTGCTTTTTCTTAAAAGTTCCAGGATTGTTTTTGTAGGTTAAGAAATAACCTACAAAAGGAAGGGGAAGTTAAAAGAAATAATAATTGAATAGTTTAAGTTTGCTTATAGAAGAAACATACAAGGAATGGTTGAAATACACCAATATTTACTCATTACTGTCTCTTCTGATTCCTGCTGAACATTAGCATCAAAGGAAAAAATAGGCAGGATACTGTCCCAAAAGGGCTCCATCCTACTTTTTTTGTTGCAGTAACAGAACAATGATCTTTCTTTCTTTCTTACTTCTTTTGTTGTCATCTTTCTGTCCTGCACTGTCAATTTTCTAATCCAAGAGCAACTCATTAGGTTCTGTCCACTTCTGTTCTTTTCACATTCTTCCAAATAAACTATATTTTCTGGACTTCTTGAGCCATTCATTCATGCCGTTCATATTCATCTTCTCTTGCCTATACAAAGAAGCTTTATTCTAGAAAATGCTTTAGCTTTTCCTATAGTCAAAGACTAAAAATTTTGTAAATATGTAAGTGCCTTGACCATAAACTGAAATCCCTTTTCATTCAGTGGGAAAACTGCTGCATTCTCTAATGGGTGTTAGCTATGACTTTGTCACGGAGGCAAATTTTGCTTTTTTATTAGATGTATTGCATAGCCTGAGGATTTTATTTTGTTGTGTTTAGTAAAACCCATCTTGTAAATACCAAAACTACTTCTTAATATTTTCTATGTCAGTAAGAAAAATAAGGTAAATACTCATGGATGCCAAGATAAATCACAGTATTTCTGAAGTTCTGTGAAGAATGTAGGAATCGGGTTTTTTTGCCATCTTCATGCAAGAACAAAGGATCATAGAAATGTCTGTATTAGAGCTCTGCAACTTAAACAGATTTTGGCAAGCTCATCTATTCAGTATTTAAGCAAAAAGGGAAGAAAATAAAAATCAATTAGTTAGATATTTAATTCTAAATCTTGTCCTTCTAAGTCATATCAGAGCAGATATTGCGAATATCAAATTCAGTGAGATACAGAAAAGCAACCTGTTTCATAGACACTTCTGAAAAATTAGAGGAAATGGATTTGGCAACTTTCAAGAAGCAGTCCAACACCTATGTAATGTCTAGATAATAACATAGAAATTTCTCCCAACTCTCTCTCACTTTTGTGAAAGACATTTTGGGTATCAGGGTACAATTAATCACACACCCTTGGTGAGGAACACTTTTATCAGATTACAGTAGCTGAAGATGTATGTCTTTCAAGTTCATAGATTTAAGTAGGGAATTAGGTAATCTGTTCTATGATATATACAGTACTGTATTCAGCATGAGTCCCTTGTGACAGGGTAGCCTAAAGCTTCACAGCAGTGACCCAAATAAACAAACCTGTCAGCAGGAGAGTATTTGTTTTTTGTCAATATGAAGGCAAACCAATATCTTTTGAGGTCTTTATCCCCTAGAGTAAATACACCAATAATGAGAGAACAGAACAGTATACTCTGGAATGGAAAATTCTGGCCCTGCAGTTATCTGTGAAGATACTTATATAGTTAACAGGGAAAGAAGGGAGACACAAAAAAAGCCAGAATGAGAGGCAATCTCCTATTTGAACTGAGATACCATTCATAGTTAAACCAGGAGTACTTTGTGGCTATAAATGGCTGCTTGTTCTGCATAATGCTAGCTTAGTAGCTGCAACCAGCCTTGATACAGTCATATGTACATACTAAGTGCTATTTTGTGACAGAATGTAGTACAGCTTTGCTGATTAATACCAATTGCCTTGTTTCCCAAGGAATTACTTAAAATTGCAATGTGGAAATGAAATCTTTTCAGTATTTTTCTATTAGCTAACTCTTTACAGCATGGTAAGCCAGTTTTTAAAGTTAAAAATTAAGGTATTTGATAGAAGTCTTACATACATCAACTCTTCACCTGCTTTGTTTCTTACAGTTTTAGCAGAGCAAGATAGTGCTGCAGCTCAGCAGTATGTTCGTCAGGGATGTCCAACAGCACTCCGAGCTGATCTGTGGGCCCTCATTCTTAACATTTCTAATCAGCCAGAGGTAAGTAGTGAAGGGTGAGTAAAATGTGAAGACTAGGTGAGAATACAAAAGTGCAAGCACGTATCTTCTAGTGATGTTTTCTCCAAAATAGAAATGCTCTACTGAGTTGTCACATAAACTGATAAACATTTTATGATTTAAAAAGCTCTGTGCTGTGGTGAAGTCTTTGCCACTCTTCCTAATTTTTAATAGACATGTGAACAAAGTACTTGATGCAAGTCCTCAACAAGGAAATTTTTGCAGAATATGAAGCCATGGTTATTTAAAAAGTTAAATTCCTCTTTAAGGTCTTTGCATAATTGGGAAACTTCAATGAGAGGCTTTTATATGTACATAATAATTTACCTTATGATAAATTTTTACACACTTAGCAAATGATATTTGTCAGCTATAGATGAAAAAGAAAAATGAGCTATTTTAAACACATTCTAAGACTGAATGCAGTAGAAATTTTACTTTAAGAGACAATCTGCTGGATCCAAAGCCTTGAGACTGAACTGAGTAGACTGTGTGCAAGGAATTAGTGGTGAGACAATACTTTGTAATGATGCTGAAGGAAGTGGCTGGAAAATGGTAATTATAACATTAAGACAAAGTGGTAATGACAGATAAAGTGATGCAAACTGGGAAATTTGTCTACTACTTTGAGGTTGTTGAAATAAAGGATTGAAAATCAGTGAAATACAAAATGCACCCTCAGTCCCCTTAGAAAACAGAAATTATGAAGTTGGGACAAGATACACTATTTTGGAGAAAATAATTCAAGGTAAGTGAGGTAAGTGCATGTAAATGTTTTTCTGTCATGCAAAGCTGAAACTTCTTCTAATCTAACAGCTGTCATAATCTGTCTTCTTTTCGAAGATTATTTTTGCATAGCATTTTTTATCCTGGGTTCTAAGTTAAAGTTGTTTTATGGACTTTGAGTACATGCATTTAAAAGATGGATTTTCTGAATGAGACCTAGCAGAGTGCCCATAGATCAAGTAGAATAGCACATGGATCACCACAGCTATGTTATAAACTGAATAGCTGTGGTTCAGTTTAAGCACTGCATTAACTAATGTTTCGTACACAGAAGTAAGCTGTGACTACTGCCAAAATGCTAACACCCTGAGATGTTCTTCTTGCATAGAATGAATACATGGCTTTATTTTTTGTGAACTATAACAAAACAGTTTCCTATACATGTAGCTGTTTTATGATCTGCTGAATTTCATATAGACTTTATGGATTTACCTAACACTTCTTTTCTCTATCTGCTATGAATAGTTTCTCTGCTGGAGTCGAGTTGTCTGTTTGCAGGCATTCCTTACTGTAATATTTCTGATTTGCAATTTAGGTTCTATTACATTTATAGCTGCATGAATCTCTAAATCACATGAACTGTGAATTTCCTTTCTTTGATGTGAAATATTATGAGAGTTTGGTATGGGCAGCATTGTGTGTGCTAGCATCCAATATTGTTGTTTGGACAATTTTATTCAGTAAAGCTCAGCCTCTGTATAAAGCTAATATACAGCCAAGCAAGGAATGATACTAATGATCTAGCATTGTAGTAATAAAAATGATAAACTGTGAGCTCAGTATGCAGGATTATTTAGAAATATATAAACACATTGCCTGACAATGAATTGTTTCTCCGTTTTCATTTGTAATGGTACACTTTAGAGGAACTGTGCTAAAAGAGCCTTTTTAAGGTTGCAAAGACAAACATTTGAAGGTGAACAGTGTCAGTTAATATTGTCTGTGTAAACAGTCCAATTTGCTGTATATATTTTTAATCATATGATCTTGAATCACATATTCACAGTTATTTCCTGTGGGTCGTCTGTCTCATTGCACGAAATGGATGGCACACAGTGAAAATCTGTTTAATTTTTTTTTTCCTTCTATTCATAGTGTTCACAATTGTTTATTCTCTGCATGCTACTGAAATACTGCTTAGGAAGGAAATTTGTTCATTATCTAATAGGCTTTTTCTTCCCCTGTAAGTTTTTTGAGTTAATAGGTGTAAAACCTTAATTCTGAAAATTCCAGGAAATGGAAAAATCAGTAATGGTTTACTTTGCTATAGGTATTACTGAATGTAGTTTCAAAGGTTTAAAAACTTAATAAATAGGTGAGGTGGTAGGTTCATAATGGGGCATTTTGTATATCTGCCTTATCAAAAGGTTTTTTAGATTAGGCTCAGTAGCCAAAGGTCCCCACTGTACCACTCAAACAGCAGAAAACCCAGTTATAGTAACAGACTGTCATCATCTTTGGCTGGAGAACGATGTACTTTACAAGTAGATTTCACAGTTCTCTGGTGAAAAGAGAATAAGCTTTGTACCCTCCTCAAGAATTTACCAGAAGGGTCTTCCTTTAACTCTTCTGTTTTCTCTTTATGAAATCTGATTAGGTATTTGTTTTAACCTTGCTAGATTGAGAGGCAAATGCAATAGTGCAATCACGTCAAGGGTAACTAAAAATGGGTCATGACCTGCCAACAGTTCATCAGTGAGAGTGTAGCTCTAGTGCCAGGGATTTCATGGCAGGACACGTGTGGCAGTGCAGAGGTTGCTGAGTAATCCAAACCTTTATTTGAGAGAAGGCGAATATCCAGATTCTGCTTAAAGTAGCTTTGCTCGGTTCTCCTGAAACATACTGTTCTCTCTTGCCCATGAGCTCCTTTCAGAGCTCCCTTATGGTCTCAAGTGGATGCAATACGAATGTTTTGGGTGAAATTTTGGGATGTGGCTCTGTAAGGTCAAGAAGGCTGCTCACTGCAATCCTGAAGTGTACTTAAATTCAGTTTGGAAAGATTAGTATATTTGGAGGTGTGGTATAAAAGTATATAATTTTCTGAAAAGCTGCAGTCTATATAAAAATGCAACATATTTTTGAAAGGGAAAAGGTTTACAAATCAATGTTACATGAAGATTTGGCAGACAAAGAAGAATTGTTGAATCAGATGAAAATGGTAAGATTTTTGTTTATAACTGAAAAAATTTTAAATAATGTAAGAAATGTAACACTTCTTTGGACACTCTTGAAACTTGCCAGTAGTGAAATTTCTCATATGGAGAAAAAAATTCAGACATTAAATTGAAAAAGTAGACTTGAATATTTTTCGACTTTAATATTTTTTTGAATATATTTTTTAATATATTTTAAGAGTGAGGCTCTTAAATATTCCTCACTGTCTAAGTGAGAGACTGATCACCAGAGAGTCTTGTGTCTTGGAAGTAAATCTTGTTTATGATTCAGATCTAAGGAATAAATCTATTAATCGTGCATCAATCACAAACCTCTTGTTTTAACATGAGACATGGGCAAGATCCTCCTGTAGCCAAGTTGTGGCTGAAAACCTGTCATGATTCCCAAGCCCAGCTTCATTTTCCATCACAGCAATCACAATTTAAGAGAGAATGAATGGCAAATAAGGAGTTAAAACCTTTATTCCTATAATGGTTATAATTGTGTTAGCTTTGCAAGTCCTTTTTTAATAATTTCTGATTTCTTTGCTAAACTTCTTTTTGCATGAGTTCTATTTCAAGTGAACAGCTTCTTTCTGGTCTTCTTAGAATCACAGAATGGTTTGGATTGCAAGGGGCCTTAAAGATCATCTCGTTCCAATCCACTTACCATGGGTTTTGGTTTTGGCTTGTGGTTTCTTTGGTTTTGATTGGTTTTTTTTTAATATTAACTTCTTGTGTTTTAATACAGACAGTCATTAGAGATGGCAAAAAAAAAATGTTATTCATTTATACTTGATTATAACACTTGCAGTGTTATACTTGATTAGATTACAATATTGATGCTTTAAAATGATGGCTTGAGTAATCAAGTAGTTCTTCGTAGCTTTGAAGAACACAATGCAATATTCATAGTGCAGATACTTTGCACTTAGTAAATATTTATGTCTGATCCTTCCTAAAGAATAGTGTAATATTTATACCTCCCCTTTTTTATTTCTCAAAAGGAAAATTTAAATATTTTCCCTGTGGGAGGCATCAGTACTTAGTAAATAAAACTTTTGTCTTCATTTCAACTTAGCAGTTTAGTAATATGCTAATTCTAATAGTTTCTAAGTGTGCATTATTCATCATTCTCTCCCTGCAAGATTTCATCGTACTTCCCACTTGTTCTTCAAATCCTTACTCTGGACTTGTCTTTATTGAAGAAATTAGCAGTAAATCTGTGAAGTTGGGAATATACAAATATTTTTGTGGTGTCCATATAGATGTTTTGAAATCAAAATACTTTTGTGAAGTGAAAAGGATCTTTGGGATGGCTGACTTAATTTATCAATTAGTTCAAATCAATCAGAAATTGTTATTCAATTGAAGTTGTAATGGCAGAAAAATATTTAGGGATAGAAGTATATATAAAAAGGGATTTGGGAGTTACAGGTTGACATTGCAATATTTAATTCTATTTTTCCTTTGCAAGCTGTTTCTAAGAAGGAAGGGATAGAATAAGTAAAAACAGAGAAGTTTGTTCTGATTTTTCCCTGTTGTTTCACCTGTATGTTCCATCAACATTCAGGAAAGAGATGGAGTTTAAAAACAGATCCTATTTTTTTGTACTCTTCACCAGTTTTTTCATATATATAATAATTTCATCTTCGCACAAATTTAACCTGCCTACAGGTTAATACTAGTTTAATGTCAAATATTTGCAGCAACTCACTAATGCTTAAAGATAAGACAGAACCTATTGGTGGAGACATGCATGAAAAAAGAAGGTAACAAAGAAATATAATTATTTTGAGCATAGAAAAGATTTTAGGTGTAGAGAGAACCAGAGGTTGGAAGCCTTTGATTTGAACTAGTCCCTTATCTGAAGGTGAAGTAATTTTATAATGTCTCAAATCTTAATTCTTAGGACTTAAACTAGAACAAGCCATGATAGATGCTTCATAAATATGAAGTGCTTTTTTTCAGTTGAATACATGCTTTTTTTTTTTTAATTGCTGAAAATTAATTTTTTTACTTTCAATATAAATTCAGATCATGTCTCAGACAGATGATGGTAATATTCTTAATTTTAGGACATCTTGTATTATGAACAGCTTAAGTCAAATGTGATTCAACACGACCTTTTAGTGGACAACCTGATTTACAAAGTAAGTAATTCACTAAACAGTGACTGATTTATGTGCTCATCACACTTTTATCTTGTTGTTGGTTTTTTTAACAAAGAAAATACTGGATGATTTGGTTTTGAGGAGTGTAAAAATAATAAGTGTGAACTTATTATTGTGAACTTATTCCTTGTGCCCGTGTTGCCTCCCATGTAAGACATTTGAGTTGAACCGTTAAGTCATAAAGGAATGGTATCCTCATTTGAAGGAATAACAGGGTTTGTGAGAAAGAACCAACAGGGTGTGACTGCTTCCATTTCAGGTTTCAACTCTGAATACTTAATCATCAAGTTAATACAGCATTTTTTAATTTTAAAATGTGGAGTATAAGCTTAACTATAGTTCTTTGAATGAAAGTGAAACTGTGTTTTCTATCACAATGTTACATTTAATCTCCATGGGAGTCTAAAAAGAGATCTTTTGGCTTCAAACGCTTGTATTTTTTTTATTACAGGATGTAAAACTGACAGCAAGCAACGATGACTACTATTTTGTATTTGAGGATTATTTATATCAGGTATGTAACTATTTTTTGGTTAGAAAACCTAGGAGGTACGCTCCTGTGGGATTGTATTGCCTTTGGAGAGAGAACTGCCTTTGTAAGGCAGAGTACAGTGGGATGGATGCATCTGTTGGCTGCATGTATTTCACTTCTGAATAGCAATCTTGCACACTTAATCAGATTAAGCAGGGTAAGCTTCTAAAACTCCTGCTATGAAGGACCATATACAATGTCTTTCCAATGCACTAAGCTAGAAAATACAAAGTCAGCCATATTTTTCCCTTTTCCAGCTTTGGAGTAAATAACTCCCAACAATTAAAAGTTGTTGTGTACAGAAAAATTAAGTCATGAGAAGTGTATTCAGGGTTCCATTTAAAATACCCCCTTGCTTTACAGTGACCTGTTACAATAAGCATATCGACATATTCTTATATTAAAGACATTGATTCTGAATAAGGCGGTGACAGGTATGACTACTTGTAGGATTGCTCCCATTGCAAAGTTGTTTCTAGGAATCAGGAATCCAGCTAATTAGCTTTGTTGCTGCCTATCAAAGGCTCATAATTAGAAGGAGATTACATCTATGAATTTCCTAATGAATTTCCAAAAGGAGGGGTAAGACCAACCTTTGTTCTCTAATGGATGGGAGGGAACTCAGTAAATGCACATGAGGAGAAGGCAGAAGTAGTTAACGCCTTCTTTGTCTTAGTCTTCAGTGGGAAGATGGCTTGTCCTCAGGACAGCTGTGGTCTTGAGTTGGAGTTATCAGGGGGCAGAATGGTCCCCCTGTTATCCATGATGAGGCAGGCAGAGAACTGCTGAGCTGCTTGGATGTTCATAAATCTGTGGGACCAGATGGGATCCACCCCAGGGTGACAAGGGATCTGGCAGGCAACCTTGCAAAGCTGCTCTCCATCATTTACCAATAGTCCTGCCTCACTGGTGAGGTTCCAGAAGACTGGAAGCTGGCCAATGTGGTGCCCATTCACAAAAAGGGTGGGAAGGAGGATCCTGGTAGTTATAGGCCAGTTAGCCTGACCTCAGTACATGGTAAGACAGTGGAACAGTTTATACTGTGTCATCACACAGTACTTAGAGGATGGCCAGGGTATCAAACCCAGCCAGCACGGGTTTAGGAGGGGTAGGTCATGTTTGACCAACCTGGGTCTCCTTTTATGACCAGGTGACCCACGTGGTGGATGCAGGAAAGGCTGTGGATGTTGTCTGTTTGGACTTCAGCAAGGCCTTTGACACTGTGTCCCACAGCACTCTCCTGGAAAAGCTGCAGCCCATGGCTTGGACAGGAGCACTCAGTGCTGGGTTAGGAACTGGCTGGATGGCCGGGCCCAGAGAGTGCTGG